ATTCCTTAGGGCTTGGGAAGTGGCAACACTCAGTGAATGTTATTCCTCTGTCTTCCTACGACGCAGTCTCATCAACAAAGTTTTAACCTCTCTGCACTGGCATGCAATCCCTCTTTCAAGAAAAAAAAAACAATATTAAAATGATCTAATTGTCTTTATTATTTTCAGACACTAGTCACCAAACACAGATGTTCACTACTGAGAATTAAAGAGTGTGGGGAAAGGTCACAGGGACCCAGGTCAGCTTGGCCCCATGGTCTTGACTGGCCCTTATCATTGTAGAAGAAAAAATATTTAGATTGAATATAAAAGTGAATAAATCAGGGCTGGAGATTTAGCTCAGTGGCACAAGCACTTGCCTGGCAAGTGCGAGGTCATGAGTTCAATCTCTGGTACAAAAAAAAAAAAAAAAAGTGAATAAATCACTTAATGGTTCCACTATGATGGTAAAGTTCATGCTTATGGTAATAAAAAATAAAAATAAAAAGATTTTTCCTCCTTAACACGTCAGACCTTCTCAGCAAAGAAAATTCACATTGGTAAGCATTACTCTGCTGTGGCAGGTTGTGGTTTAGTCTGGACATTGGAGTTTCCATATCATGATACTGGGTATGTGCTGCTGGAGCAGTAAACAATCCTGACTACAATCTCAAAAGTTCTCTCACCTAGTCACTTGGCGAAATCATTTATCAGGAATGGTATACTTACACAAAATTCATCCAGGTCTAAGATTGATCTTTGATCTTGAAAGTTAGCACTGGCATAGGTGGGGGTGATGAGGCCTAGCCAGTAGAGCACTACGGTTTGATTAGGCTTGATGTTTATTTTCTTTGTACTGGCTTGGATTTTCCCAGACACTTTGCACTGCCCTTACCTGTCCTTTTTCGCGGTAGTAGAAACTACCTAAAGTCCCTATCTCCCCACAAACTGGATTTACCGGTCTCATTCTTTGTCCAAGTGAACAGCCATCCTCTTCTCCGAAATCAGACTCCCTGACCTTTTTTGAAGATCTAAATGTCAGCTTCTACATCAGGACCTCCAGGTTCACACGGTGAGTGTCGAGGCTCACTGCTCTGGCTGGATTGGCCATGCCAGTCTCCATCATAGACCAGCAGATTTGGGAGGTTTGCACTGACTGCAGTCTCATTTACACAGAAGCTCCTCTTCCCAAGCCTCTGGACCCCACTGCTCAGGTCCCAGTTTCTCTGCATCCGCCCTTTGATAAATGTTGGCATAACTTTGGACATTTGGTTGTTGAAGGAGACAAGCCTTACACCCACCCACCACCGCTTATTCTACATATATCAAGGCCATGCCCTCCTCCCAGTTAAATAAACGGCTCGGCTCGGTGAACATGCAAAGGCTAATGACATCTGACAGCCACATCCTTGAAACATTTGCTAATATCTTGGGGAACCGGCACGGCTGGGACGTTAACTGGTCGAGTTGCAGATGACTGCCAGAGCTGCCCTTCATGAGGCCTGGCAAGTCACGCTTTGATAAGTCTACTGGCCATTATGGGGCTTTTCAAAACATTCAAAGAGCGTTTTTATGCAGAAGCCTCTCCGGCTCTGGCCTGAATCATCTCCAGAAGGCTGCAGCTCTGCCCAGAAAAAGTAAAGTAGAGTGGGCAGAAGCCAACAGGTTTTGAACGAGTGGGCGAAAAACAGCCCCCTGACCTTGCTAGCCTGTGACCTGCGTGAAACGAGCTGAACTTGTGCGAGAACACTACTCGCTCGACCTAAGCATAAACTTCTTAGAAAATAAAACAAAAAGGGGAAAAAAAGGCTGCCCACTTTGAGTCATTTGCGAATCCAGCGCCCTCTCCCCTAGCGCGCTCAGCACAAGCCCCGGCGGGGCGCAGGCGCCGGGGCAGAGGCGAAGGGTCGGGTTGAGCCCTGGGCGCCGAGGCTGGTGCGCAAGTGCGCGTGCGTGGGCGTCGGCGCGTGCGCGCTCCCGACCCGCTGCCCGGCAACCGCGGCGCGCGCCTGGGTGCGGGCGGTGGGCGCCGCGCGGGGCTGCGCGTGCGGCCTGAGAGCGGGCGCGGCGGACGCCGCCCTGGGGGACATCCCTGCGCGCTTTCCGAGCCTCCTGCTTGCTGTGGAGGCCGCGTCCTGGAAACCACGGGAAAAGCCAGCGGGCTTGCGCGAATTATGACCTTGGGAAGAGGCCTGGAGGAGCCCAGACCCGCGACGGGACGGGAAAGGCGTTTGACTGATTCTGTCGCGGGGAAACCCGTGGGCTTATTTATGAGGCTTGACTCGAAAGCACTGACTGCCAGAGAAGTGAAAAAGGAGCTCACCCCAAGCTATGAGAGAAGCTGCAGTCTCGAGAATGATGTTTATGACGATATAAATCAACGCGCGGCTTGTGATGGGGAATATGAAGAGTGCGAGTTTGGGAGAGAAACAAGGAAACAAAATCCAGAAGGAAAAATGTGTTTTCACCTTCCTTTTCTTATCCCATCCCTCCCCCTTCGCGAAGTCTTTCCTTGGGGCGGGAGGGAAGGAGTGAAAACACTTTGTCATGGGGAGGGTCCACCAGAGTCTTCCCCAAGTTTACTTGAGGATCCTTAGAGGGCCAGGGAATATATGTAAATAAACAAACTTGGAAGATTTATGGGAAAGAATTCAATTTTATAGGACTGTATTTATAGAGTCAACGCTGGCTCACTTATAAATACATTAATGGAAAGCTAAAATTAATGGACTTGTGAGCTGCACGTTTAATTTCTGAGACTTCAACATGACATATAACCTCCCAGAAAGCTGAAGCCAGGAAGGCAGCTCGCTCTGTGAACCTTAGGTGCCCTCAAGAAGGGCCACTCCTATAAGGCCAGCAGCTCTCTGATGGTTCCTACTTCTGAGGGCCCCATGGAGCTGTGGCTTGCAAATGAAAAAAAAAGAATGTGGCCTCCTTTAAAAAAAAATCTTGTCTTCTTCTCAGCATTATTTTTAGTCAAGCCATCCTGGGCTGTGAGGGGGCTTCTGGGGCACTGTAAAACTAACACCTAGTCAGGCAATCAGCTGGTGGGCAGGGGCAGCTCCATCAGCGGGTCCAAGCTGGTTGCTGGCTGGTCACTCTATCATGTTAACGCCTTACAAGGCCGTGACAACAGGGCTGGAGAGCTGTGACCAGCATCCAGCGACCTTTTGCTGGGCAAGGATATCCAGACCCTTTTTGATTCCTCTTCCATTCTTCTTCAGGTCTTTTCTACAATTTTTCCCTCCACAGTTTAGCTCCTTGAGGACCTCGGGTTTTATGTGGTGAAGGTGATTGCCTTACCTTCTTGCCAAATGATGGTGAGGGATGCCTGGTGCCTGGAGTTTACCAGTGAAATAATACATTACTTGTCTCTGTCCAGGAGTGGTGTTAATGGTCTGTACGAAAACTTGCAAAGGATATGGAAATCACCCACAACTACCTGTGTATAGTTCCAGTGATAACCAAACCTACACCCTGCAAAACAAATGGAAAGGAAACGCAGTGTAATACAACTGAGCCAAAAACTAAGGCATACATAGTACATATTTCCTTTATGCCAACTGACTCAGACATAATCACACTCCCTTTGGGTTTTTTTTTTTTTTCCTGTCCTTGCCACTGTTTTTCTAATTCTTTTTTGTTTTGCTTTCCTTTGACTTCATTCTTTATAATTCTAGCCATGATACCTTCCCTTTTTAAATTAATAAGAATAGAAGGGGGAAATCTCACATAAAAAAGCTTTTTGGTCCTTCTGTCTTTACTGATAAGTCCAAATGGAAAAAATTGACCTGAAAACCAGAAAATGTATATAGGGCACATAATGTAATTAACTGAGCACCAGCTGTACTCTAAGCACTTTCAGGTAATCAGATCATCAAGATGTATTTTTATTGTATTTAAATATGGATGTATGCTGCTGATTCTGTTTTTATAAGTAAACTTGTTAGTGTTGGTGAAGGGAGCAACGATTCAGAGGTGTATCTTTGACAGATGAATGCCGTGAGGATCAAAAGAAGAAATGACTTGTCCAAATTATAAAACATCATAGATGACTTTGCTTTCCTGGTCTTAGAAAAGATACCCTATTCTTGGAGTAAAGTACAGATTGAGGTGTTTAGGCACCACGGTTTATCAGGGACAGGGTGAAGCCCATTAACCCAAATAAAACTTGACTTCTCTAAGCTGCCTTTCAGCCTAAAATAAGAGCTTTTTAAAATATATGCAACTAGCTGGGTGTGCTGGCACAGGCCTGTAATCCTGGCACTCAGGAGGCTGAGGCAAGAGGATCTTTGCAAGTTCCAAGGCAGCCTGGCTACAAAGGGAGCTCAAGGCCATCTTGAACTGCATAGTGAGACCCTGTCTTGAAAGAAAGAAAGAAAGAAAGAAAGAAAGAAAGAAAGAAAGAAAGAAAGAAAAGAAAGCGGAGTTATGCAACTTATTTATCTTCCTGATCAAGGGAATATCCCTCACTTATTTGTGAAATGTCTTGTATTACTGATAAAGTCGGGGTCAGATTCATTCCTGAAGGTCTAGTTAACTTATCCAAATCCCAGGTAGTAAAGTGCAGGACCCCAGGCCAATCCTGTAGATTCCTTTCCTACACCATCTGCTTCTAGAAACACCTTATCAGTGTTTCTCACAACATCAGCAGTAAGAGGACAAGGTCCATCATATTTGATTTGGACCCAGAACCCTTTAGTTACCTGGAAGTAAATTAGAGTTCTCATCAAAGGGCAAAAGAAACCAAAAGATGCAGTTAACGTGAACTTTCATTACAAATCTGTGTAGGCATAGGAGACAAGACTTGTAATTTAAAAAAAAATAAAAAAGCACTTCTAGGAAAACAAGTGCTCCTTTGTCTGATAAACAAAATTTATTGTATTTCTGCTATAAGAAAAAAAACACAGTATGCTTCAGTGAGGGGGTAAAAGGAAAAAAACCTCTTGCTATGTGTCTTTTCTATCTATACAGTTCAACTATATCCATATTTAAGAAAGTGAATATGGAAACACAACAAAAACACAACAATCTTTTTATTTATGTAAATCAGATCAACACTGGACAATAAACCAATTTCTACCCAATACCATAACAGCTTGTCTATAAAGAACAGAAAAATTCAGATAGGATTCTACCTAGGGTCAAGCGGTTTTATTTTTAACCACCCATTCACAGAGGTATAGATTCACAGATAAATAATCCCAAACTACTTGCTCGCCATATTTACACATTCCCTTTAAATTAAGCATAAATAAATATATACAAACTTAACATGGATAGCCTACAGAGCTCTTCTCATGAAGAGACAATAGACTGATATTTCTCCATTGTGTGGCAAAAGCAATGTTAGTGAATTAGAGATCAACCCAAAAGAGGAGTAGATTTTGGAATTTTAAGAAGGATGGAGTTCATTCCATTAAAAAAAAAAACTAATTTCAATATTTCTCTTTTTATGTCAATGATTTAATATACATCATCAAAGGAGGGAGAACACTTTTGGGCTGTTGAGGCAACATCAGATGGTTTAGGGTTATCGTTTCCTTTCCACATAACATATTGCAAGGACAGGATGTCAGATGCGATGACGAATTTTCTATGAACACTCTAACTAGGAATGCGTTGTACTGGAGCGACACTGTGTACATAAATTCAGAGTTTCAGGTTTTCCATTGGACCAAAGTTTTCATAGGATATGAAATAATTACTTGAGAAAAAGAGTGGTTTCCTTGGCCAAAGAAAACAAAAGTCAAGTCTTTGAAAGCCTCTGCCATTCTTTAGGTGGGGGTGGAGAAAGCTAAGGATGTGAGGCCAGGAAAAAGGAAAGAAACCGCCAGATAATTCGGAAGAGGGAAGAAAGTTACTTCCCACGTGGAGAGGGGAGAAGTGAAAGATCCCTTCCAGACAGAAAGCTCACCCAGGACATCCTATGGCCTTTCCCTTGAGATCTTCTCTGTAGCTGTACACAGAACTGGATAGCCAGTGGCCTGGAGAGGATTGGAACCGCCAGAAGAACTTGCAGAGTGGCAAAGGCGCGTGTAGCGCTGGCAGGGTTAGACTCCTTCCTTCTATCCTGAGACCCTATTTGGCTTGGGACCAGGCCTTTGGGAGGAGGCAGCCGGCGGGGTTAAAACGTCTGGCAGGGTGGGGCAAGAGCGAGCGCAACTCACCTGTTTGGTTTGAAAACAAAGCTCAAAGGGTCTTGCCTTAAACATTTTCCTTGACTTAAAAGGCAACTCTTGTGTTAATCCTACTGTTTATTGATTTATAAGCCCAAGGAAACCAAACCTTTTAATAACTCAATTATCAGATAAACGTAGTGGTCCTAGCAGACGGAAAGCAGGAGGGTGGGGAATCCCACTCGGAGGAGTAAAGGAGGAAGGGGAGGGCAGAGGGCCACTGTGCGCAGCTGGCTGCAAGGTGAGGAGGCGCACACCGGCTGGGACTAGATTACCGCCAGGAGGAGGACGGGGCAAGAAGGGAGTCTGCATGGCCAGCTAGGACCACTCTTATCCATCTCCCTCCAAGGAGCACGAGCTTGGAGACAATTTCCATCCTGACCGAGAGGACAAGGGGAAAGTTTCTGATTCCTTGGGCATTTCTAGGCCACTCTTCCCGTGGGAGCAGGCGCTCGGAGTGACCGAGGGGAGCAAAGGGCGAGCACAGCCCTCGGACCCCTCCCGCCTGCAGCCCTCGGGGCGCCGCCCCTTTACCTACTGGAGCACGGGGCTTTCTCGGTTGACCTTAGCCTTTAGGGTGAGACCGAGAGCGCGAAGGGCCCATGCGACCGGCGGCCCCTGCAGTGGCTGATTCTATGTCCTCAACATGACTGGGCGCGAGTGGCCCACAGCTCTCAGGACCTGCACAGTAAGAGCAAGGCGCGTCCATCGCGTCTCTCGCAGGTCACACGCGTGGGACGCGTTGCCCTGCAAGGAAAGGAGACGATGGTTTTCAGTGTGGTTCTTCCTGGCCCTCTGTAATCCGAACTCATCTAACGCAAGCGTCCAGGCTCTCGGACCAGGTGTGGGCTTCTCAACTGGGCAGAGACAAGGGCTACACTATCCATGTCTTGATCCCGGCCTTTGCACTCTTCTGAACACGTCTAGGGCTGTGCCCTGCACACCCACAGGCCTGAGGAGCTAAAGGTAGAAGAGGAGCTTTATTTGGGCCCTGTAGTCACCTGAAACCGGATCTCTAACAACCACTCCCCTCCTCCCCGCCCCCAGCAGAGCTCTCAGCAGGTTCCTAAAACCCAACCCTCCCCTTCACCCCAGGGCAGAATGGGGGAGGTGCAAAAATGAGAGACCAGGCGATGTAAATTGGTCCTGTCCATAAATTCTGCAGAACAACTGAATAGTCAGCAAGGTATGTTGCAGAGATCTTGCATATTTTTTTTAAAGAGGTGCTTACCTGCACTAAATTTAGAGACCTGTCTCACCAGCGCTACCTCAGGGGATTTCTCACTGCTCTTGGGAACCTTTGACAACGGAATCCAGATTTTATTTCATGATAACACTAAGATGGAGCCCCAGAAAGGATCTGGGCTACCAGAAGTGAGAAATATTAGATGCACAAAACTTTATCCACTGGGAATAATCACAATGGTAAAATTCAAAGCTGAACTACATTTTTTGCCTTTGACTATGCGTTATTTTATCATTATACGCCAAAACAAGTGCACATCTGGGCAGGGAAAGTGGCTCGTTCATAAAGCATCTTGCAATAAAGCAGTTGTAGAAGCATCAGTTTGTGTCACCCTTTTCCCCACCTCACTAGAAAAGCTGCCCCCTATTAAAACAGCAATCAACAAAGAGCCTGGGGAAATTGAATCTATTTTAAGTGAGAACAATACTGTTAGAATATGGGGTTCCAAGAACTCCTACTCTTTTCCCCTAAAATTCACTTTTCATGGCCCTATCCCCACTGGGATTCTGACGTTAACGATGTTAGCAAGTAGACTCAAAGCTGCTTCCATCACATTGGCCACTTTCTCTATTATTCCCTTTGAGCTTCTTTAAAGAAGTGCACCTGCAGAATTCTGACACACAAGCTTTGATTTTAAAAGGATTGGATTTTTTTTTTTCTCAGTACCTTATAGATTGTGTAGAAAGCCCAAGTCCTCTTTGAAGAAGCTCATAAACCATGCGGGCAGAGCTTTGGAAAACAGAAGAGAATGAAATAGTACATACCCCTCCAAAGGGACTACATACTAATCAACATATTCATACTGTGTTTCGTTTTGGTTTGGTTTGGTTTTTACTATAGTTCTTAAAACCGGTGGATGACACAAATTTTGTAACAAATGCAAGATTCTCTGTATGCAGATGCTGGCAAGGCTGATAACTAATAACATTTCGGAAAAGAATGGATGATGAGTCTGAATCAGGTTACTGGTCCGGATTTTCCGCAGCCAAAGGAGCCTTTGCCCAGCCAATGGCACCCAAAACTGTGCCCCCACCCAGCAGACCCTCCCTACTTTGCAAACCGCCAAGGAAATAGGCACGGTGAGTTAGAAACATAGGCTGGGCTGGGGAACCAAAGGGACTAAAACCAAGCCAAAGGGCTAATCATACTCATTTGCATCCCGGAGATTCCCAGAACAGTATCAGGAAGGAGGGGAACCATAGAAAAGGATAATGAAGAGTGGGGACTGCGACAGTTTCCTAAAAAAATGTTAAAAATTAAAAGTTCGTGTGTCTCAGTCAACCAGCTTTCAAAGCACTGACAACGTTTCTCCGATTTTCTTCCAATAAGTTAGCGTTTTCTCATGTTTAGTCTTATGTTTGTTTTCCAAAGGGGGAAATCATAGTTTTCTTTTATTATCAGTATTACTAAGCTCGAAAGAACCGAAGTGGAAAATCCGGAAGGTGGTCTCCAAGTGTATCTTGAAATAGACACAGAGAACCGATATTGTTGCTCCGCTGTATGCCTCAGGACTTTTTTTAAAAAAGTTATTTAACTTTCTTTTTTAAAATTGTGATTGTATGTGTATTCTACCTAATATAATTCTTCCAAAGCCAATCCAATATTTTAAAGCTAAAATTATTTTTTTGTTTATTTTCCTTTTGTATTTAAAACATTTTCCTTCTTTTTTAAACTTTTTTTTTTTTTTTTTTTCATTTCCTGTGTTTCTCCTCCTTGTCGCCAGTTTTACTACCTGGGCCTTCCCCAGACGTGTGCCTGTTAGTGGTGGTGTTGTTCAAGAACATCTTGTCCATGCCTTTGAGCGCCTCGGTGAGATAGTTCTGCAGGGCCGTGAGCGCCGCGCAAATGGCTGGGGCGCCAAAGCCGTGCGTGATGAGGCTGAAGTGCGTGAGGCAGCTCTGGATCCCCGGCTCCAGGATGGGACTGGGCCGGCTGTTCCCGATGGGTGTCCGGTCCTGAGCCAGCAGATCCGTAAATTCTTTACAAAGTTGCCTGCGATGGTGTGGGGAAGAACAGAAAATCACTGTGCATCGTTGTCATTGGCATTAGTAAGGAGACTCTGAAACAAGCCCAGAGGCGCCCGGTTGCTGCAGAGGGCGGCTAATGTAGGCGATTCCGCTCTGTTTCCTTGCCTTTCCTAGCTCACTCCCTTGCAGAGCAGCTGGGACTGGAAGGAAAGTGGGGGTGGGGTAGAAGGTGCCCCTTCCAATCCCAAACTCTGCCTTTTTATTTTTTTTTAATTTTTTTCTTTCAGTCTTTCCATTGCAAGACCACATAGGTTCTGCTCTGGGAAATTCACTAGGCTTTCGCTTTTGATTTCAAATATTCTACAATTGTGAGCACCTACCTGGCATTCCTTTGAGTCCTTTTCCCCTCCTCTGTGCTGCCTCTCCTGCTTCTTGGTGATCAGACACAAAAAGCCCTGAAAGATTTAGGCCCTGGGCCACAAGCCTGTCCCTGGCACTGAAGCAGATTGCTGGAGCCTTGCATGGCCCAAGGCAAGAAACTGTTTATTCTAGGACAGAATGCTGATTCCATTCAAAGCAAAAACCTGTTTACCTGCAGTATGTGGAAAGAGAAAGATTTTCTTCTTTCTTAAGAAAAAAAAATTGCTCCACTCTCTATTTTGCAAACATGGACTAATAAAAATCTGAAAAGATTCTCATATAGTTTAACTAAAATCTAAAGGTAAACTTTTAAGACACTAGGGAGACCAGATTTTTATTTGTTGAAGGTTTTAATTTCTGCAAGGCCCCTACAATTTAGAGAGATCCAGCCTAAGAAATCCTGTGTGCCTAACTCTGGATTGAGCTTATTTGACAAATTTTTAATATAAGAAATGAATGGAGGGCTTTAACCCTGCCTGTCAAATGGTTCAGTTCTGCTGGCACCCCAAAGGCCACAGCATCTCACGGATTGCCAGACTTCTGTCTGCTTGCTTCCACCTGGCCTGGGCATCTGAAGATTCTAAAAGAAGCAAATCCAGGGCAGTGCAGCTCTTGAGTAGACACCCATGAAACAGCCTAAGAGACTTGGCAACACTTGGTCTGGCCAACAGGTAAGCAGGGCTGGTTACAGTGCTTGAAGGACTCTGGGGTGCCCTTTCCCCAGGTGGGCCTGCTTTGGCCAGGGTAAACAAATGAGGAATGCCTCTTCCCTTACCCCTAGCAGCAGCAGTAGGATTGTTGCTTGTAAGACTGGTGGGTGGGTAGAGAACATTAACTCTCTTTCTCCTGTTTCCTGTCTCCATTCAAAATGTTCCATATAACTAGGAAGAAGCAAGCAGCTGTTCTGACCTCAGTGGGACAGTTCTTCATCAGGAGCCACCTCAGAATCACCAATGAGGGCTCAGAGATACACTCCCAAACCCTGACCCCCATCAATTTCAATTCAGAGGGTTAGGGGAGAGGTCTGTGCATAAAGGTCTTAAGAAAGCTCCCTAGATGACTCTGCTACTCCCAAATTGCAAAGTACTGGCTTAAGAAAAGCAAGACTCAGGTAGTCAGGAGCATCCTTAGGGAACTACAGAGGCTTTTGCAGAATCCTATTATCTGACTTACACACTTTGGTTTTATTTTTATTTTCCCCTAAAGTATCCTTCCTCCTTTATAAGGCACAACAGGTCTCCCAATCCCAGACACCAAGGCAGCGGGTCAGAGAGCAAGCTACTGACAAAGATCTGTTGTATTACTAGTGGTACATCAGAGGGAAGCCATAAAAATGGGTAGGTGCCAGGTTTTGATCACTGGGAAAGATGGTTAAACTCTTTCCTTAAGTTTGTACTCATTACCAAAGTGCCAAAAAGGAAATTCTGTAGTGAGAAGAACAAATGCTTAGAGTCAAACATTTTAAATCTTCAAAGCCCAAACCAGAGTCTGTAAGCAATTAAAGTTCTGGGACATTAATATTTTTTGACCCTGCGGAAAGGGGCAATCAAATTCCAATCACGTCTCAAAAACATCTGGACAAATTTGAGCAAATGATTTTTCAGCCTTCCATATATTTCTTTAAATTACGCTGTCAAACGAACAAACCGCGTCCTGGAGCACTAAATAAATGAGAGCCCCTGTTTAGGCCCAGCCCGCAAGAGAAACGTGCGGGTGCACGCCGTGCCGCCCACTGCAGGCCTGAGCCGGCCATAAAACACCAACAATATGACACCCAAGCCAAAGACAGGAGTAAATCAAATAAATAGAAAACCCACTGTAAAAGTTCAAATGAGCTCTAGACCTAAATTTAGCCAGAGATTTACTATTTTCCCCTCTGGAGTTGCAGTAAATTTTATGAGTCTATGGAAGATGACAAACAGCAACGTTGGAAACTGACTAATTAGAGCTGTGGGTAAAGATGGGTGCAGGTGGGTGACACATAGACACCTGGGCAAGCACACCTGACTGTATAGAGATGGTAGGGAGACAGATGTGAAACCCAGGCAGTAATACACACCTTCCAGGCTGGTCCTTTTCTGAGGACCAGCTTGTCAAAGGTCTGCCCAACTTCCCTGGGATTGTAGAAAAGAGCTATAAAAAGTCTTCATTCAGTTTAATAAAGCCAGAGGTGGCAAAGGAGGACAGATAGGCATATAGCCCATGGATTCTGCATCCTGGAGGAAATCTGGGTGGCTTCCTAGTCCTGGCTACACTGGCTGCACGCTACTAGCAAACCACAAAAAGGAACATCTCTCTTTCTCACAGAGGATTCTGCACTGCTTCAATCCACCCATCTTCCACCTTCTCTCCAGTGGGTGGCCCAGCAGGATGGGAACCAGGGATAGAGACCTAGGACTTGAGATACTCACTTGGTTGCCAGCAACATATTCTTTCGAGAGTGCAGGTCACTAGGATCCGTGTGCTGCCGATTCAAATACTCAGAGACAGCTTTAGCTGGAAACTCTGTTTCACAAATATACCCAAAATCTCGAGCTAGGTGGACAGCTTCTCCTGAAAAGAAAGCAGCAAAGAATTAGCACCCAGCTCCTGAACATCTCAGGGCAGCAGTCATACTGGAGCAACTCTGTCAGGATTTCCAGCAGAACCAAGTGTTGGGGGCAAAGGCAAACATGAGACACATACTAACAATAAAGAAGATTATGAATCTTTAATTAAAGTCATGAGGCAAACTTTACTCCTGCTGTTCTTTCCAGCCTCTCCTTGAGCCAAGTCCTACCTAGGCAATCCCAGGAATAGCTAGCTATGAAGTTTTCTACAATGGGAAAGGTGGGACAAATAGATTCCAGAACCTACTTACAACTGAACCTAGACATTTGGCAACCCAGATACCATCTTCTTTTTAAAGCATGGGTTAAAGCTGCTTTAAATAAAATCTAAAAGTCACTACTTTCTCTCTATAATTGTATTAGGAAAAATCTCCTATTAATAACTAACACATATAAGCAAATCCATTTAACTAATGTCCACAGATATTTATAAATATGTAAATTGTGTATGGAATGAACATTTCTATTCAGCAATGAGAACCGTTCCTGTCACCTTTCCTATTAGCTAGCTTTCAAGTCTCTGTCATCATCCTCCTACTTGAAGAGTTTCTATTGCACAAAGACGCAGGTTCCGAAAAATGGGCATGGAAGGTATTCCAGAGCCCCTTTCAAATAAAGCATTATTACCTGTTAAAGCACAGCCTTAGAGGTTTTAGGAAAGATAGCAAACATGAAAAAGAGATATGTTGAATTATCCCATAGCTACATTATTTTTCAGGAGCATGACTTACTTTTAATCATCATTATCATAATACCAACAAAAGACTTCAGGCATGGTGTTAAAAGGATTCATAAAGCTGAAAATGCCCACCAAATAATGGAATTTCATTGGGATTCCTAGCGTCCTCTTTTCTCCACCAGAATCCCCTGTCTTGGGCTAAGATTACCTTGACTGTTTTTCAAAATGAAGATTGTGACATTAGCAATTCCCTGAAGGGCAAAATGTGAAACCCCCAGGCTCAAAATCGACTGCTAATAAGCGTGATCTGGAAATTTGGTGGCTACTGCCTCTAGAGAGTAAGTTTGGGCCAAACAACTTTGCCTTTAAAATGGTAAAGTGCAAACAAAGTATCTAACTGTGGTGACACGGTTGCTGGTTAAATATCCCGAAAAACCCTCCTCCAAAAACCAATTCCCTACAGGAGTGTCATAATGTCATATCTACTTAAAAGAAGAAGAAGAGGAGGAAGAAGGAAGAGGAGGAGGGAAAAAGCAGAACTGACAAAGTAGACTCTAGAGAAAAAATCTTTATCTTTCTCCATCAGGACCATCTGGCAGTACTTTCTGTTTCCCATTCCACAAATTCCACTACAGATATTCTTGTACCCGAGTATGCCGATGATCTTATTTATGACATGAAATAAATATCATTCCCTAGCCCAAAGCTATAAGCAAATTAGGTGATTGTTACAATTATGACCATTTAATCTGCAAATGATGAACCTACATTGAGGGTCATACTTAACTCCCCTTCATGTTTTCTGATCACTTCTTCCCAATTTTCTCTTATGCTTTGCTGGCCTTACTAAATTGTCAATAATTCAGAAAGTCCCAGGTAATCAGCAACAGATAAGGCTGTGGGAGTGACACGAGTTTTAAAATGGTCATTACAGACCACGAATGCAACATGTTTTATAGTAAGAACAACTCAGAGGTAATCCCTAGGAAGGAAGGGAAACAGATGATTGCTGACACACTCTTTTTTCAAGAGTTCATACAGTGGGTTTTTCCAATGCTCTGTGGCAACATAGGTGATCTTTGCCTCATCTGGAGACTTCACTTGCTCATGTTTCAGAGTCTTGAAGACCTTATATTGTGAGTCCCGTGGCCTCTCTGCAACCACTGGCTCCCTCTAAGTAAAAAGAACTTCGAATTTCTCTCAAGCAGTCGCTTGACATCAACTCATAAGGAAGGGCACAAAAACTGCAATGATTTCCAGTTAATCGTGAAACATGGAAAATGTCAGCCTCCAGCCAACAGTTAAGCTCAGCCACACATCTTGCTTACCTTCCACCAAGGAGGTGAGTAACGTGACGTTCGCTGCCTTGCGCCTGCCCGCGGGTAAATTCAAACCGATTTTTTCTAGCCTTTCTCGCAAGGATCTCCCCCCATTTTTCGATTTGGCTCTGAAATCGCAAGAATTAACATTCTGATTAACCTCAGAGTATTCCTGAAACAAAGTTTAGACTTAGCAATCTAAAGCCCAGTGGAGCTTGAAGAGGTTTTAACTTGAGGTTAGCACTTTTCCCCCTTCATTTTGGTTATTTGCTGATAGTTTGCTGAGGTTTGCTTAATTTCTGCAATACAGCACATTAAAAAATTGAACTTTCTTTTTTTATCTTGTGAGAAAAAAATGATAGCAGATGGGAATAATTAAGATGTAGCGTGTGAGTCCTGAAAAGGTAAAAATCACACGAGCATTTGTGTGTATGTGTGTGTGCGCTCTCTCTCTCTCTCTCTCTCTCTCTCTCTCTCTCTCTCTCTCTCTCTCTCTCTCTCTCTCTCTCTCTGGCACGTGCACGCACTCCTAGGTTGTCAAGGAGCCGATGAAGAGAACAGAAACCCAGCACAAACAACTCTGCTGGAAAGGAGGGCCCTTCTTTGGTTCAGAAAGGAAGAGGCACTTCAGAAAAACAGGTAGATCTTAACGGGGAAAGGTCAAGAGTTGCTATGTATAATGCAGTTGTTTTGGGAGAAGAGGAAAGAGTAAGATATGTAACTAATGACAATCATCATCATATCAGTAAGACTAACAAGACCGTGAGTGGCTATATGATAAGCACTTTCTACTAGGGCTATCTTATTTAATCACTTAACAAAGTTCACACACAGGTGCTCAGGGAGTGACTGGGGATTTCTCCACTTTCAAGTGCAAATAACTGGTTTGAAAGCTGAGACTTAATAGGGCAAAACAAGTGATTTTATAATAAAAAGGTTCCTAGGTCACACCCACTTCCATAATATCTCCCAAGGCTCTCCTTGCACGTGCTATAAGGAAATACTGTAACCTCTCATGCTGTTCTCAGGCTGTCACTTTTAGGAAAGAAAGGGACTTTCAGCCTCTAACTTTATTTTGCTTTTGTTAGGTTTGTTTGGTTTTTTGGATCTAGGGATTGAACCAGAACCTTTGCCCAGCCATACCTTTGTTATTTTTACTTTCTTTCTTTCTTTCTTTATTTTGGTCTTTTTTCCTTTTTATCGGTACCGGGGATCGAACTCACGACTGCCTGCTTGCATTTGCAAGGCAGGCACTTATGCCGCTGAGCTAAATCCCCAGCCCCCAGCCTCTAAAATGGATTAACTTGGATAGTTTTTCCTCCGAGTCACTTTCATATCAGTGACAGTACTAAAGGATTCTGATGTTGGCAGGGACTTTGGGGAGAATTTAAATCTTTTTTTTTTTTTTTTTTTTTTTTTTTGGACTGGGGATCCAATTTACGACCTTGTGATTACCAGGCAAGTAGTGAGCCACTGAATTAAATCTCCAGCCTGAGAATTTAAATCTTAAAAAAGCCACCTCTTCCTCCATTTCCATGAGGAAGAGTCAGTGTATAGGCTTGACTTTTGGGAAACACTTAAGTGACTCCAACTAATAATTTTATTTCTTCACTGGTGTAATTGTTATTAGTGGCTGTGTCATCGAAGGGTTATGGAAATCCAGAAAAGTTTTCTTTTCTGGAGCACAGTGCAGCACTGGGTCCTCACACCAATTTAGCCATCACCACTTGTATTTTTAAATATACAGTAAACTAAAGAAACATCAGAGATTACAGGAAAGGCATGTAAGGAGTTGCTCTGTGGAACTTGTTTTAGACGACTGTGTGAGTGTGTGTGTGTGTGTGTGTGTGTGTGTAGGTTCAAGGTTGCACCCTTAGAAGTCTCTGCATATTGGAGGGAGCCGGTACCAGGTAGAAAACAGCAAAGTTAAAGGTTCCTAGGGCCGAACGCCTGCATCGCGTCAGGAGACACGGTCAGGGCTGCGTGGCTCTCAGTAGCTCTGCACAAGCTCTCCGCGCTTCCCGTTGCTAGGCAACTGCATGGAGCTTTGCGACCCTTTGGGGTCTTTTTCCACCCCAAATGGCAGGGAGGCGGAAACCCTTACCTTCTGAGGACACCACCGAGCAGAGACGCGTTGAGGCATTCCGGGGGCGATAGCCGTCTCTGAACCTCTCCCACCGTTACTTTGTACTTTGAGGTTGAACTGAGCAGGGACAAACGACCCGGGACCGAGCAAAATACCTCGCCGGTGTTGACCGACATGCCTCCCAAGAAGCCATCTTTATTCATCATTAGAGAAGTCACAGATTTAGGTGGAACTGGAACTAGAGAAATAGAAAAAAATGTGCCATAAAGGTGACCGAGTTTCAGTCTTGGTGACCAGCTGAGAGGCTGTCAATGCATGACTGCTGCGCAGACTCCCAGAGGAAAACTGGGGCGCTTGTTCCAGCGGGCTGCGGTGCATTCAGAGCGCTGTGAGCAAACACGGAGAAGCCCGCACCCCGCTGGAAACTTACTCCAGGTGTGTCGTGGACGCCTACATGTCACTTGCTGCACCATCGATTGTCACACGTTAAAAAACAAAACAAACAAACAAGAACATCAACACTCAACCCCAGAGCTTGGTTTGTGGTATAAAACTGAGCGAACCCTGCTTTCTGATGTGCTAGCTCTACAATCTTAGAGACACCTCATTAAATTCTGAATCTCAGTTTCCTCATCTGTCACCTGAGGATAACAGTGCCTGTCACATTCGTGCTGGAGTCAAAGGCGATTATCACCATTCCGTATGCAAAAATGGCACTATAATCAATGGTCATTGAAAAACTTTCTTCCTGCTGTTACTGGACGCAAATCTATAATGAAGAAGACAGAGGGCGGGGCTCAGCAGGTGTCATGTTACAGATAAGTAACACGGCTGACCTGGGCAGTTAGGCCCAAAGAAGCAGCTTATCTCTTTAAAATGAGCTGAATGCTTTCCTGTGTAACAGCAAGAACAGAATAACTTAGAAATGAACTCAACTGCTCATCTCCAGTGAAAACAATTCTGCGTCGACATGAATTTTGTTTACAAATTAAAGCACCGGCTGGCGACTGTTAGGCCTGCTTATGATTTACAACAGGTGCGCTGATCAATCAGCGGATCACTCTAATTCACGTGAGCAGCAGTCTTGCCTGCCCCAGTTGTTTCATTTCGGCAAGTAATTGATAACAAATCGCACTCAAGGTATGTTTTATGCAGAAGTTAATAAGACCTGACAGCTGGTTGCCACTGCTACCCTGGTACATTCAGCCTCTCAGCCTGTATTTCTGTTTAATTGTGTTTCAGTGTCATCTGCACGTCAGGAAGAGGCTGAGCTCAGTGGTACCAGAAGGCTGCCAGGGGAACAGTAAATAATCAACCTTCCAGGTCCCTGGCAGTCTTGCTCTTAGCTTTCTAAGCTGCTCCTGTCCATTTGCTTTCAGTAGGCTCAGAAGCCACTGGACAGACAGCTTCTGATTCAGTTTGCTCCAACCCAGTGTTGGTCTCCGAAGCTAGCTTCTTCCCTTGGGATTTGAGGCCTGCTTGTCTTAATACTATACACATTTACTACTTTAGGAAATTGACTGAAACATGTATCTAATGTGAAAAGGGAAGCTTCCACCCCTGTCTTTTGAATAAAGACTGTCTCGTCTTTTAACTCAATACCAAAAATATAGCTTCTTTCTACCATCTGAGATCTAGAATTTCATCTCAAACAAGACATATAACCTCCCTTGTATGGATTTCTGTAACAGTTTAGTCTATTATAAATTCCCAACATTCAGGCCTCTGTGATCAAAAGCTTCTAAAAGCCAGGTAGGTGCCCAACATTTTATTTACTGAATTACATTTGGCTCTATTCAAATACTTTGTAGAAAAGAACTTTTCCAGAGACTAAATGGGTCAGTAATGGATTTCCTTTTTACTATTTCTTGGTATATATGTTAGAGTTCATCATGCCAAAAATTTTGTCCCAGATGGATGTAAATGTTAGAGGTAACAGGAAGGACTTCTGTACTGAGCTTGGCTGGGAGTGGGGGCTGTCAGAAGAGGCTTGCAATGTGATTTCCTTCACAGTATCTTTAGTGAGGCTACTTCCTAGATGAGAATCAAGCGATTAAAACTTGAAATTATTCTTGAGTTATTATTGAAGCCTATAAAGTCATTGAATGGAAGAGGACGACACTGTCATTTAACTTGTATCATATTTATTTTAATCTATTATATTTTTCACAGCATCTCCTATTCTATAGTTCAACTTCATATTCAAAGCCTATAAACAAACAATTTATAGTCATGAGACCAGCATTAGGTACATTTCCAAGAAATATTTCCCATAAAACATAGACAGCCCTTTTTAGTTTTAACAGGATGAGAACTACAGGAATAAATTGTAGAAAATCTCATTTTTAATACTCAGCTATATTTTATCTTTAAATATTACTTAAAATTTTTAGCAGCAAAAAAGTCTCCACTGAACTGAAAATATGAAGTTCAGTTCCCGCTTCCTAGATTGGATGACCAAATATAGGAATTTTACCTGTCCCTCAAGTCCCACATGCCAAATCTCTTGAAAAGCTTGGCCTTTAGAGACCCTTTATGATGCACCCTCTAATTTCACTATTGTTAATTGCCTGATTTACCTGAGAAGAGCAGTTTCCTTTGGGGAATGTGTATTGCTCCAGCCCCTGGGCTGTATTGTACTTCCTGTATTACACATTATCACCTATGTACCCCCAATCAAGTCAGACCCTATCAGCACACTGTCTTGGGGGAAATTCTTTCCCCTCCAAATCACAGACAACATGAGTAAATGTGATTCACATTATATTTCCATTTTCTAATTTAAGTAACAAAATCATGTCCCCCCATTCTGTGTTGTATCCTCAGCTTCTAAATATCTCTCCTACCTGGCTTAGTACTGGTCCCCTGGACTAGACACTACATATTTCTTGTTCCAGTGTTCATTTAGGTCTGTACTCTGATTCTCTACCTTCCCCTCCACTCTCACACCTGTTTAGCTCAGCTGATTAACGCTGTATTTTATTTCCTTTGTCTTTTCCCTTCTGCTTTTTTTCCAGCTTATCAATAATCCCAGAGAGCAACAGGGACCGGTTGATTTGTTAGTAATTATAAGCACACTGTTCCTGTTCACTGGAACCCAGAGATGACTGAGATAGGTTTAAAGCAACAGCAGGAAATGGTAAGGAAATGGAGCATAGCAGAACCCAGCATGAACCTTTCTGTTCTTTATATGTTTACAATTTTCTGTGCATATATTAAAAGTGGATTTCCCCTCTTTGATTCTCACTTGGGTGGCACTACCAACTTCTGAATGCAACACCTACATAATTCACTACTCTCTGTTTTTCACTGCATTATGCTAGTAAGAAAAAAGCAAGTTTAAAAACAAACAAATATTTCTTTACAGTGAGTAAAGTTTCAAAAGAGACAATGATTAAAGAATATTATTCATTAGTGGACAGTATAGAGCTAAAGTGTTAACAGAATAGCTTTTAATGTCTACTTTGACCATCAATGACAAAATCTGCTGGTAGAAAAAAAAAGATAGAAATAAACCTATTTTATACATTGATATGATGAGGCTCTCTGATGATGCACTGAGTCTGATTTAGATATGTGAACTGAATGGGGAAAAGGCATGAAGTTTAACATTGATTTAGACTGGCTACTAAAAGTGAAGTCATGACTTGCTACCAGCAAAGAAGTCTTTCCTCCTATTTACATCATTCCTCATCTTTCAAAGGCTAAATTGTACAGTAAATGCATAAATAAGAGCACTGAAATTGTGGAAAGACAAAAGAATTCCCACAAAGAAGGGAATAATAAAAAATTGCAAATGTTCAGGGTTACCTTCTAAGGACAGAGTCAAGGAAGCTAAAAAGTGAGATGGCTCTCATCACTTAGTGTGTGGGACCTTAATGAATCACTTATCATTTTCCTGTCTCCACACTTGGAGGGTTTCTGCACTTAGGAAGCTGGAAAACAATGTTTAACCTTTAGTTTTAGAGCTCTGTGAACTCTGATCATTCCCTGGAAGAATAGAATTTATCTCAGAGTCTGTAGTTGATACATAACAATTAGCGTCCAAGTCAGCTGGAGAATTGCAAATGTCTTCCTTTAAGAGGAAACCTAAATCTTTATGAAACTCAGAGAGACACTTGGTATTTCTTACCTTCTACACCAAAAGAATCTCAAATGAACCCATTGGAACGGAAATTTGGAAATGTCTTTATCCCCTTTCCCCAAGAAAATCCAAATCAAGCAATATGTGTAGAGAAAGAGCCAGAACTGATGGCAAAAAAAGTGGGAGAGAATGAAGGTTGAACTGAAATTAACCAAACAGGATATCCCTAAGACCAATAAAAATGCCCCACAGTTACAACACTTGAACCTTGGACTCCAGCCACACTAGTCTTTCCAAGAAATCTTAGCATATTTTCTGCTGTCTAAGGTGTCAAACCAACTGCATATTGGCCTGTGATTGCATCAAAAACTTTTTATTAAAGTTTAGGTAAGCCTTTTTTGCTTAGGCTATATGGTGGTATGGATGATCATTTATATTAGCTGGGCACCCCCTCCCAGATTCCTAATCTTAATGGTACTGAGAGTTAAGAATGATTTTTTAATGTCTTGTTGGATTTTTAGACTGTTAATGTACCGAATCCTTCTCATTATTACTTTATTGATTGCTCATTGACCAGCCCCCTTCAAATCGTATTAACCACCCTCTGCCGGTTTAGATTAGGAGAGTTTAAAAAAGCACCTTTCATTACTCCCCCCCCCCCCGCGCACACACGCCTGCCATGGAGTTGAGACTAGGCAGCTTAATGGGAACTCTAATGGGGCAGCTAAGAAGAGAAGGGCCACGGTCCCTGCCGATTGCATTAATAGCTCAAAGGGGGCCAATACAGAAAATTAGCCTTAAACGAGCTCTGGAGATCTTCAAATGAAAGAGCCATTTATCACGCTGGCTACCTTCACTCCACTCGTTTGCTCTCTCTACTGGGAACAACTCATTTCCTCTTAACTAAATTACTTCAGAAATGTCAGCTAAGCCCAGATAGCAAACATAACATGAGAAGGAGCATGTAATCTATGGGGTGATATCAATATGGATGAAAAATCAGACTGGCTGAATTTTAGGAGGTCCCTATGTATAATGAGTGAGAGACAGAGAGAGACAGAGACACAGAGAGACAGAAACAGAGAGAATATGAATATGAGAGATCGATTAGGATGCCCAAGTCTTCAGGCTTCATAAATGTAGAAGCAGAGCTAGAGAGAGATTCAAACCTTAACCAATTTCTGGCCTTTTATTAATGAGGCAGATTTTTTTAAAAACTTCTGTCTAACACAAATAATAAATAAAAAAGAAAATAAATTAAGCAACTAAGTTCTGTGCCAGTTGTTCAAATTTAGAATAACCAGAAAACATTCTCACTACTTTTACAAAATTAATTTCATAGAGAACCCCTCATGGGGAGGGGCACTGGCAAAGACAGGACACCCAGCCGGGAAGAGGTAACTAAGTGAACATATAGCTTTATTTTAAGTGGTTCATGGTGAGTTAGAAAGAATAAATCAAGTACTTATTCTCATTTTTGCCTAAGGCTCCTTAAAGATAAAAATATATTAGGATCTTTTCTCCATGTAATAAAACAAATATCAAATAATGGAATTGACCTTAACATTTGCATTCATATCATGTCCCCTGAATCAATTAAAGTGACAAGGTGTTACTTAATATTTTAAGATATATACTTCTCTGAAAAGCTTTTGGGGACATTAAAATTACTCCAGCATTTCCAAAAACAGAACCTGCAACTTCAGTCATTATTCTCCAATTTTTATTCCCACAGATAACCTTATCTGTAAATATTTGCTATGTAAATAATCACCTGTTTTGCTGACAAACATATGCAAGTCCTGCAACCAAACTATCCTACATCTAAGAATATTTTCAGCTTCATTTTGCTAGGAAGGCTAAATTTCAAGTATTTTACTGGCCTGCCTACTAATAACATTTCTGATTGGTTATCTGTTGGGCATGTCCCACTGCCAGCCCCAAATGATGTTGCTAGGATACGAGCCTTGAGCTAAGTGGTTTGAGCTTTCCATTGAAAGCAGAGGGAACACAAAACAAAACGAAAAAGCAGAGGAGAAGCTCCTCCCTCACCTCACTCCAATCAACCAGCAATTAAACAGAAGACCCAAGAGGAAACAGTGAAAGTGGCTGTCAGCACAGCTCCAAGTTTCTTCACGTGAATACCTTAGCAAACCCAAAAGTTGGGATTGAAAACCAAGAAGGTACTGTCTAAAGGTGAGATAGAGAGATGTTCAGAACAGTATTTAAAATAAATAATTTTCTTCAAATCTCACAGTCCTTTAGCCTATTCACTCTGAAGCCAAGCCACATCATTTCAAATACTGCTCAACCTGCCCACCTTTCAAAGCTCCTCATGCCTTCATTAAAGAAGAAAATTTAGAATATCCCACCATTCCGCAGTTCCACAATCCTCTTGTCCCAATTTGAATCTGGATGGCTTACTTTCCAAAGCATCTTTTTTCTTTTCATTCTTTTTGTCAATGTCAAGTGGCTCACGCAAATCCTAAATGACTGAAGCTGGGGATTGTTGACATCAAACATAGGCATAGGCTTTCTCCAGCATCCAGAAGAAAGGGTTACAGTAGTTAAAATTATGTTTTCAAACACCAGTTCCTGTGATAATTAAAGATTGCAGTGTTTACACATTCAAGCTCCTAAATTTGTGGCATGTGAGTGACATTCAGGCCTTTTGGCAGCCACACTAATCGCCAGGCATTCTCTCAGTGATTGTCAGAGAAGAGAAAAAAATTAAGCAGCTGCAATATGCCTGAAATGAGTTATTGTAATTACATTTAATTAGTTTAATTAGTTAATTATTTTGCTTACAGCTGTACAAGAGACTGCAAACATTTGTTAATATCACATGCCCTTTAACAGTATGGGGTGATTCCACAGCCACACTAAATCATGAGTGTGAATGCAGGAAGATTTAGATTCGTGCATAGGCTGTCTCGGCTTCTCAGGATGCACACATTTAGCTACACATTTGGCTCAGCTACAAATAATAATAAAAAAGAAACAACTCACAAAACATACAGAAGGGAAAACAAAATTACTTCCAAAAAATCAAAACAAAAGCAAGGAAAAGGGAAGCTGCCTCAATGACATACGTTAGCTTAGTAGAGTTTACTTATCAATGAAATAATTGAGGCACATTTTTGAAACCAGTGTTTCCCAGCTAATGCCACACGTGAGGAGAGTTCATCTAAGACACATCTAGAATGACTACCAGATTCATTATAGGGAAAATGGCAATTGTTTGTGCCCTTCTTTTTCTCTCATCTGGGTTTCTAATCGCAGGTTTTCACTCCCTATTACCCCATTTCCTTGTTCCTGAAATGCCCTTTTATCTTAGTCTGACAGCCACTGCACTGGGGTTGTAAACAACTACTTATAAATATCAAATTCCTCCAAAGTGAAAGCTCATGATAAACACATTAAAGCACAGGAAAACTTCGCTTACTTTTGGGAGGAAAAATCCATACCTTTTTTAATGACAGACTGGTCCAATAGATTCATGCCGCTGTTATTGGCATCTTCAACTGACTGTGAATATAAAAACATCACTATTCAAATTGACTGGATATTAAAGAATTGCACACATAAATCATGTCATCCTATCCTGGAGTTTCTGTTATTTCCATTTATATTAATTCACAAAGAGAGGTTTCATTATTATCATTATTACCTCCAAATCGACATAGAAATGAAATTCACCCAAATTATAAATTCTTCCAGTGGAAGAAAAGGGAAAAGGAAACTATGAGAGACATCTGGGATTCAATATTGGTTAGTTGTTATATAAAACATCAACATTACACAGATATATGAGCTTTTATATTATTTACTTTTATGAATTGGGCAAGTTTGGCAACAGCTGAAAGATTTTCGCCCATATTAGTTAAGAGCAATTTTTGTCTTCCATTCTAACCCGGTCCATTGTAACCCCAGAGCCATTTTACAAATACATAACGGTTTACATTATGGGATTTTAATTAAAGCCTGAGCAATTTGGAATGAAATGCAAACAGCAACACGTAGAAACGTTTGCAAGGCTCCAGACTGCGCGCCCACTGGACTCGGAGCTGCGAACTGCACGGCCAGGATCTGTGGAGGAGCTGCCTCGAGAGCTCCCCCTCCCAGCCCTGCTGATGCTGCTTCCCAGCAAGGAGCACACCTGTTTGGAAGGCAGCGAGTACAGACACAGACACACAGACACACGCAGGCACACGAACAAACACAACAACCACCAGGATCCTCCCCGCCCGCACCCAGGGAATCGCGGGGAACCTGGGTCTTCTGTGTCAGTGTCATCTCGAGAGGGAAAGTTTGACCTCAGCATCGGCAGCGCTCCTGAGCGCAAAGGGCTGTGGGGTTTCTTCCTGTCCTAGGTACTTGAACAGAGTTCTACTGGCCCTGTACTCCAGGGTGTCCAAACGCAGCTGCCCTGCCATCCCTGCCTCCACCCCAGCGAGAGTCAGCGCTAGGCCTTTCTGAAACCCGCAGGGCTTCCTTGACCCTCAGGAACTTAGGTTGGCACCAATCTGACCCCTCGCTGCGGAGCAATCCGAGGAAAGGGGCTGGAGAGCGCGGTGCTGGCTGGCAGACTCGCCCACCCACTCCTGCAGCGCCCCGGACAGGGTGCGCGCCCACCCCTCCCCGAGGAGCCCAGCTGGGACCCGGGCGGATCTAACCACCAAGGAACGCGCTAGTTTGATCCCTTTTAGCAGTGACCCATCTGCTCTCAGGAAGGTGAGCAAAACTGTCTCGGGGAGAACTGTTTTCCGTGTGGCAAGATGCAGCGCAAATCTGAATAAATAGTAAAGAGCTTTTTAAAAAAATATTTCCTAGCACTCAGCCGTCACCTCCCGGGGCGCCACGCAGCGCACACACCGCACGCCCCCGCTTCGCCCCTTCCGGGCTGCAGCGGCGGGACCCACGCGGGACCGCGTCCGCACCGCGGACCTGGCGCACCGGGCCGGACGGGTCCACACCTCGCCCGCATGCTGGAACGTGAATATGTGTACACGCCTCATCAGCGACGTGGGGTAGTTGTGGTAGTTAATGAGAAGGCTCTTGTCTGATTTTCTATCTAATTACGGCCGCCTGCTGGGTTTTTGTACAGGATATTCACGCAGCATGCTGGCGCTTAATCGTCACAGGGAGGATCGTAAAGATTTAATTAGGACTGCATGCGGAAGCGCGGAAAAACAACTCAGACTCGTAATTACTAGACTTCTTTAGTTAAAAGTGATACCAGGGGTTGCTTTAAGACACAAGGGTGTGTTTGAGTGTGAGTGTGTGTGCCTGCACGTGTGCGTGTGTGTGTGTGTGTGCGCGCGCGTTTGGAGGAGGTTGACTTAGCATATTTATAGGTTTACAGTCCTGGGTGGTAGAGGGATTGTAAAGGTGGGTGGACAGCAAAGACGGGTGGATGGAGAGGTAGACGAACAACTAAACGCATCCTGAGCTAGGTGTCATCGCACTTGGTTTTTCTGCCTTTTCTATAGCCCGTTTTTCTTAGTTTTTAAACACTGTCCCTCAACCCCCGCCACACACACGCACACACAATGGGTGAAATGTACCATACCAGGAACCCAAACAGCGATTTGCTAGTTTAATAGCCCCTGTGAGTAAATTGAAATAGAAATTGACAGGGTTTTATAGTTTCATTTAAAAAATATTAGAAGCATTTGGTTAATTAGCTCTCCTTCTCCTCTCTCGCGTGGCGGTGGCCCTGCATGTGTGCCTCTGGCTCGCCCCCAACCCTTGACCCACCAGCCTGGGCAGCACCCTCAGGGGCTGACTGGTCTGTGGCTGCAGTATTCGGAACGCACCCCAGACCCTGGAGACTGAACAAGTGCCTTTGAGTCCAGGCCAAGGCACTCTCCTGTCCCTTTTAATGACTGGACAGGTGCAGCCAACTCGTCTGAACCCTCGCTGCAGGGAATGTGAAAACCCCCAACCAGCTTGTGTAACTTTAGCCCCTGCATTCCAGATCCCTAATTTGGAAACAGATTTTCTAGACAGACAGAGCAGGCGAATCAGTCTCTGGGTTTGGGTGTCTGGTCCTACACACATTCTCTCCTCTCTTTGTCACTTTCCCTGTACCCTGTCAACCTCATTCTGGCCTCAGGAGGTCTGTCATTGAGAGGGACACAGGGACCTTACCTGCCCCAGTTCTTTCCCTCCTAGGACAAGCACCGGGTGTATCTCTTACAGCCCTTTGCACTGAGGGTCTGCTGAGGTCCCACAAGCCTCCCCACCTCGCCGGGCCATGGGCTGGGATAAAGCTGGAGGAGGAACAGGGAAGCAATTGGATGGGCACAAGATGTGAGGAGGCCTTGGCCTGCTACGTTTCTGTTCTCTACTGCTCTCTGTACCGGAGTACTGCACTCAGCCTCAGTTTTCTGTTCTAGACCTTTTCTGATATTTTGGTAATGGTGATGTCCAGACAATTCTGTCATTAGAATACCAAACAAACAAAAAACAAAACAAAAACAATAACTGAACCCAAAGCAACCTGCTGCCTCTTTAGAAGGAGGAATTCCTGAATTTAAGGGTCTGAGCCCTTTGGAGGCATGCAGGGCAGTGGTGACAAGGCCAGTGTTAGCCACACCAACAGTAATGGTGATGAGCTGGTCCACTCTCATTTTCCAGCATTTTGAACCCTACTCAGAAAGGTTAATTTAAAAGCTTTCCCCCTGAGATACATACTACCCAAATGTATTAGGATAACTATTTAATATTCTCCTTTCTCATATGATGTTTCGAAATGTGTAGTATCTCCAAACAGGGACAATCTCAGTTGAAACAAAAAAATCACCACTCATTACTAGGGGTAAATTCAACCACAAATCAGGTGATATCATTTTCAAAAAATAACTAATAAGGGAACTTCTTTTAAAACAATAAAGTGACTCCTAGACCACAGACAGACAGTATTTGACTCTGTCATTACATTTTAAATGTTTAAAAACATATTTTCTTTTCAGCAAGATAAAGAAGAATGATTTGTGCATCCGTTTTACATTTGATTTTTCTTTACTTCACAAGTCTGTCTCAATGATGCATGATATCTACAACTGTGCCAATGAGATCGAAGTGTCAATTAAACACTAGTCAGGCATATTTATCTTTTGCTGGAAACTATTTAAATTAGAGGGGAAAGAGACCTGCTCAGAATTACTCAAACAGTTTTTAGGAATCATTTCTTTGATGTTCCTTTGTTTAAATTAACCAACGATTCTCAACCAAATCAGGCTCCATTGTGTCGGTTGCAGATGGGATAGTGGGTGGGTAAGGGGAGTGTTTTGAGCCTTTTGTTTTAAGAAATAAACACGTGATGCCTCTTCAGCTGGGCTGGTGGCAGTGGAGAGAGTATTGCTGGGAGGAGGGGTGGACCGAAGAAGGAAGGTGCAGAATATTACTCCACTATCATTCAATAGACCAAAAAGTGAAAAGAATTTCAAAATGGTATCTGTGCTCATGGACTCACAAACTGAATTGCGGCCTTCTAGGTCTGGCCCTTACAAGTATTTCATCTGCAGGTAGTGACTGTCTTGGAAAGGCTCTTTGGTGATTGGAACATTAAGAGCAAGACAAACAAACACAGCTCACCACTTTCTTCCAGTGTGCATAGTCATGCTTAGCAAAACCTCTCAAATCTGGCAGGAACGAACCACTGGAGCACACCGAGGGCCTGTGCCTTGGTACTAGAGTCCTGGTCTCCAGGTAGCCAAGGATTCCCCTGCCAGTTCGTGGAACTAAGCCCTGTGTGATGTGTGTGGGTGACTGTGTATCTGTGCAGGCCTGTGCATGCTGGGGGTTACTAAGCCTGGGAACACAAAGTAATAGAGAATAGGAGTGAGATAGCTGAGGGACAACAAAAAATGCTAGCCTTGATTCTAATGATCATAATGTATCAAATGTTTCTTATTTTTCTCCTTTATGATTTAATTTTAGATTCTGGGTTTCACAATTGGACCTCCAGAAATCACCCCTGCAGACTCATATACACTTTAGACAAACATGTAATTCCTGTCCCACTGGTCCTGATTTAAAAGATGAGAATAACTTTTCTCCAAGGAGTAAAGCTGCCTTTCCCCAACCCTGGGGGAGCATTCCTTGGTTATCCTCCTTTTAATTTATGGTTACCTGGACATCTTCCATGCCGGGGTGGCCAAGGCCGTGCAAGGAGAGGCTGTCGCCCATGCCCGCGTCCAGGCCGTGGTGGGCCGAATGAAGCAGCACGTCGGGCCGGCGGACCGAGTGGTAGTCCCTCCGGGGGTCCAGGCCTGAGAGCTGGGGCAAAGCTGCCCGAGGTTGAGGAAGCAGGGAGCCAGCTTCGGAGCCCACTTCTTGCCGCTGCCGTTGCCCCCAGGGGTGCTGCTGGGGTTGGTGCAGTGGATTCAGGGAGTAGGGGTCGTTGACGTGAGAGTAGGGGTCTTGGCTCTGGTGGTAGGGGAGCGGCTGGTAGGGGGGCGGGAAGTAGGGCGGCTGGAAGTCCGAGGACGGGGTGTGGGACAGCGGCGGGGCACTCGAGTAGGGTCCTTGGGACACGGAGCCCAGCTGAGAGAGCCTTGAGCTGTGACTCGGGACGCCATCGTGCCGGTCCTGGGAGAAGAGAGAGGGAAAGAGACAGAGGAGAGAGAGAGAGAGAGAGAGAGAGAGAGAGAGAGAGAGAGAGAGAGAGAGAGAGAGAGAGAGAACACAAATGGAGAAGCCCGGCTTACTTACACCCTTCCCGGGACAGAAAGAGTCTAAAACTCAGACCCCAGATTGACCCAGGGCCACATAATTTCAGCAAATCCAAACGGGGAAAAGGAGACTCACCCACAGAACTGAGCCTTCTTTGGGGAGTACAAAGCAAGCAAAAATGGGCAAAGAAACTTTGTGTGTGGATCAGATACCAAATACCCTAGGAGCTTTACTCATGGCGTTTTAGCTCTTTTTCTCTAACTCTTCCTGGGGTCCAAAGCACAACAAATAAAACTTCACAGTATCTGCTGTGCTTCAATCCTTGCTAAAATCCAACCTGTGCCTTCCCTGATCAGGAGTGCCTTTCCTAACCTGGTGGTTTTAGGCTTAGGCGCTCCAGGGGAGCTGCCTGATTTGAGGTCTCCATCACCCCTCTCTCCCAAGAAAAAATTAAATAACTTAAATAGTGTTTGGAATAAATCTGTTTCAAAATCATATCCTAAGTCCATGTTCAATTGAGTTGTGGTTTGCAGGAGTTATTTCTAAGCTTGCTTTTCTGTATCAAATGCTATTATACTTCAGGGTGTGAAAATGAAGGACCTGAGTTTGGGAGGAGGAAAAGCCCCAGACAACTTATTGTTGGTCCTCTCTGGAGTGTGACCAAGTGAGAGGAGGAGAAGGGGGAGGTGTGTGTTGGGGGTGTTTTAGTTTCTCCCTCTCCTCTGTGGAAGTGCCACGGTAGTCTCCATGGTTCTTTTTGCCGAAATAGTCACCTAAATTTCCAAACTGCACTGACAAGTACAAAGTTTTCCAGTTCAGCCTCCCCCCTCTCCCAGCTGACTCATGGAGCTCAGACGGAGAACACACAATACAGAGAGAAGCAGCTGCAGCCTCGTCCAATTATGGTGCTAAATTACCAAGCCAAAGGCGCTCAAAGAAAGACACACAGAGTGAGACACACACACAGAGATGCAGAGACAGAGAGACAGTGGAGAGAGAGCATGCAATTCTGGTACAATGCGAATCCAAACTCACCATGGATGAATAGGTGTGGACTAACATCTGGAAAAAAAAGCCTGGTTACTGCTCAAAATCAAACAATGATTTAAAAAAATTCAAGGAGTCCAGCAGAGAAGAGAGCTGGACACAGGAGCCGAGCTTGAGGTGTTTCCAGGACAAGCCATCAAAAAAAAAAAAAAAAAATACCCCCCTCCAACAAGATTGGCGACGCCTGTCACACACAGGCAGAACTGTTCATCTATCTCCTGGTGTCTTTTTGGCCTCTTTTCTTCTTTCGTTCTTCGGGGCTCCAGATACAGTCCTCTTCCACCCGAAGCTGGGCTCAGACTGCTTGGGCGCCCCTTCCTCCCTCAGCTTGCCTACACCGCCTCATAATAATTGATATTCATGACTATTAATATTACACGAGTACTTTAAAGGGAGAATGGAGGACAAATGGAGCGTGAAGCAGCGGCGAGCGCAGAGCTCCCCACTATTGTAAGTGACGTTCATTCAGTGGAGAATTACTAGATGTAATCAGACGAGGGGGCTGGCAGAGGCAGGCTGGGGAGAAAGTTTAGCAGGAGAGAGGCAGAACTTCAATTAACTGAGCCGGGACACGCGTAAAGCAGCCTCTGCTCCTCGGACCAGGCAGTGACAGAGCCGCACCGGGGTTTGCACAGAATGTAGGTGCCCTCCTGTGTGCAGGGAGACTTTCCCAGTGGGAGGAAGGGATTGCCCTGAATGCTTTGTGTGCAGATTACAAAACAAAATAAAAAGGCATGGCCTTGTCATTTGGAGGGGAGAGGAAAGTGAATTGGTGGGGCCGGCTGTTTCCAGTGACGTGTGCAGACTTTTTGCTGAACATGGAAGGCTATGCTCAGTTTTTAAAGGAAAGAGAGGAGATGGGGCTCCTGTTCCCGAGCAGCCTCTCCTCACAGTGCTCGCAGTAGGCGATTTTTACCTCGATTTAGAATACACGCCATCAGTCTCCAAGTCCTCTCCACTTATCCTTTTCAGCAAAGCCGGGGGCAACAGAAAACCTTTTTGGGTGTTTCAGAACCCGTTTAACTGGCCTGACTGCCATTTCTGTTAAAGTTCAACCTTAGTCCAGACTCAAATAGGCTGCTTCCATCTCGCTGCGGGTTCTCCGGGTTTTTGAGCAGAAAATGTAGGCAGCCGGCCACAGCTTCAGCGACCCCCCCCCCGTTTTGTCCCGCTCCCTTTCCTCTCCTCTCTTCCCGTCCCCACTTCTCTGCTCCCCCTTTTTTCCTCCCTCTCTGCTTCCCTCTCTTTCTCTCTCCTTTCCGGTTTACCGTTTGTTTTCCATAATGAAAGAACGAGGGCCGCGCTGATCACCCTCTCCGAGGGCACCTAGAGCTGTCTACACCGGGGCCCCTGCACTCGGGGCGCTCCCATTCTTTGGGGGGTTCCTGTCCCCTTCGTTCCCGGCGTCCCGCTTGTCCAGGAAAGAGAAGGAGGCAGAAGCGAACACCCCCGCAGGCGCGGCTCCGCGGTGCAGAGCGCAGCCCCGGAGGGCGCGGAGCCCGCCGGGCTCCCCTTCCTTCCCTGCTCCCCTCCGCTCTCTCCTCGGTCTGCCCCGTCCGCCTCTGCCTCCCCGCAGCCTGCTGCAGCTGGGCTCCGTCCTGCAGGCTGGCTCGGCCGCCCGAGAGGCGCTCCGGGCCGGGCCGCGGTCCGGGCGTCCTCGGGGCGGCGGGCGCGTTGCTCCCCGGAGCCCAGCGCCCCCTTGGCGGCGCCCGGCTCTGCCCCGCGGCTGGCCTGGAGCCGGCTGCCCGTCCTCCCTCCTCGCCAGCTTTTCTCCTCGCAGCGTCCTGCTGGCCCGTCCGGTCCGCCAACCCCTTTCCTAGCTCCGCTGCGCCCTCTGAATCCCGCTCTGGCCCTCCGGGGCTCCCTGCCTCCCCGGCCTCCCCGACGTCCCCGTCGAGCTTCGCCTCCCTCCTTCCCCTCGCCCTCCCGGGGGTCCCCTGAGCGCCGCGCCGGAGCGGGGTCCCGGGCCGGCAGCAGCCGCCCGCCCGCGTGGCCAGGGCCGCCAGGGCACCGTGGCCCGCCCGTGTCGCCCGCGGGTGTCGCCCGGGCCGCGAGGGTCCCGCGAGTGCAGGGAGGCGGCCGGGGCGGGACACCCGGCTCAGCATCGCCTGCGCCCGGAGACCGCGCTCTGCCGGGGCCGCTGACCCGAGAAGCCCCAGAAAGCGAGACAACAAAATAGCTGCGCTCCGCTGCCCTAACCCCGGGCTGGGCTCGCCACCCACCCGGCCCTGTGCCTGGCTCCCTCGGACTCCCCGGGCTCCGCCGGAATGCGTTTGCTACTATTTCACAGATGTGATTGAAAATAAAAATTAAAAAGTCCCCGTCTGTTACAAAGGAAGCCTGAAAACCCAATTCTCTCCCGTGCTCAAAACGAGGAGAGCCCCTGTGGTTAGCAGAATCCCTGTTTTTCCCTGATTGTCTACCTACAGTAGCAACGCATTCCCCCTTTATCGCCTAAACAGGGAGGAGGAGAAGAAGGACCGCAAAATAAAAGAAAAAAAAAAAATCTCTCCAATTAAAGTTGCCAGATTTCCCCTTTAAAGTCCTTTTTCAGAATTGTGAAGTCTCCCCACAGCCAGCTTTTCTAAAAGTTACAAGAAGCTGAGAAAACCAACCAGCAATCTACAAGTAAATAGTTTAAAAATATATATCAGTTGGGACGTCCAGAAGCTCAAATTCTCTATCTGCAAAGCTCTAAAATGCATCTGGGGTGTGGGCTCACCTCATAGATATCTTCGTACTTGACATTCTCCACGAGCTTCCAGAGCATGATGGCAGCCTGGTCTCTAGGAGGTGAGTGCATTCATGTGAGGAGCAGATGTCTGGCTTCTCAGGACTCCGCTGTCTGTAATGATCCATCTATAATTGGAAATGGGGAATACACACCAAATCCGACGCTCCTCTCCCATCGCAACTTATATCTGTTGTCTCAAACAATAGGCTGGAGAAGTAAGCCTCAGCAGAGAGAAAAACATTATTGCACACACAGGAGTTAGATGCAACCCACAGACATATATATGTTATAAAAATCATAAACACATATTTTCACGGAGATACCCACACTTGGTTATATAAGCACTTCTGGGTCACACAGAACCTACAGACTCTAAACGTGCATTTAAAAGAGATAGCTGTTCAGGGTGATTAATATGAATACATACATTTAAAACCCTCTATATTGAAAAATGATGAATCATTGTAGCCACTAACTAAAGTCTTTAACAATTTACAATGGGAAGCTACAGACCATCAGCCCCTAATTTTTAATGTAGATTTTCAAGGGGAGATCATCCTTGATATTTTAAAACACGAATTTTCAATTAACATGTACTCAGGAAAAAGTTATTTTGAAAACAGGAGTCAGTGATTTTAAGGGCTATCTTTCGCAGTTGATAGCTTTGTAACTTTTGGGGGAAAACTTTTACCTATGTCAGTGTAGAATAAAGAGCTAGCCACCACAGTGACTATTTCCAATATTTTAGTGATTTTACTCAACACATTTGGAAGCTTAAATATTGTAGAACACCTCCATCTATATAGCTTGTTGCTCTAGGGGCTGTTTGTGTTTTAAACGGATTCCATGAGCCATTTCTCTTGGCTGGAGTCTCCATTTTATGAAGTTTTCTCAGATGTTGCAGGCAACATGTGCACACATCCAGTGTTCATTTTGAGCCTTCTTCACCGAGGCTGGGTCGTTTTTTGTTTGTGTCTGCTGTCTATAACTCTCAGTGCTTTTAATCAGGGAGACTCAAGAAATGGTCACCTGAATCTCTGAGACGGTTTAAATGGAATATGCTTCAAAGAGATAGTAACAACACATTCTTAGGACACACGTTTTTCTTCAGAATATTTTTCTTGAAAGAGTCATTTATATAGTTTATTTTAGGAAAGCATTTAGCATGAAGAACGAAGTTAACCAAACCTTACAAATAAGCTCTCCCTGAGACGCAGGGCTGTGAATCTCATCAGGCAGTGAGGATTCACTGCTTCTCTTTCCCCATCCCTCTGTTTGTTTCTTCCTTTCAGGGTGCGGAAGGCTCCCCACAGCCGCAAGGAGGGCGCCTAGGAAGATCTTTGCCCTTGAGGCAGAAAATAAATGACAAGAGGGAATGAGGGGGGTTGGGGCAATTTAGGGTGGAAGTTATTAAACCTGATAAGAGGGAATCTGTGGAGCACACTGTCTTTAAATCAGTGCTCTGCGCGCTGTGTTGGAGCCGGGACCCAGGTCCTGGAGCAGAGGGCTCAGGGCCACTCCAGCGGCCCTATTCGGAGACCGAGCAGATGCTTCGCATAGTGCACAGCAAACAATGCTGCTGATTCTTCAGGTCACTTTACCATAAGTCACATGGCAAGAACACAAAGGTGCTTCAGGAAGAACTTCGTATAAGCCCTTTCTTGATTTCTAGTTCTCTCCCCTTTTTTGTTTTGTATCTTGTTATTCTTTCATTCTTCCCTCACTCTGTCCCTCCCTCCTTCCTCCTTCCTCCTCTCTTTTAATTTTCTATCTTAAATCACACAGAATCTAAACAGGTTTCCCACTAGAAGCATCCCCCCTCCCCAGCTAGTTAGGAGACGAGGACAGTCTTCCTGATCTCGTGGTGTGGTGAGACTTGAAAACGATTCTACACCCTCCTTCTAGAGCTGAAATCAGTCGGCTCAATATTTTGGAAGATCGCATGCTTGGAAATTCAGATTCTCCAGACACGTATTTATTAATGTGAATAGTTGTCTTCTTTTCAAATCAACCACTCTTTTATCACAATTATCTCAATATCATCTTAACCCAAATAAACATTTGCAAAAACTTATTCTCTAAGGGCTGTTAATATATTTTATCATCTTTTAACATATCATTGATTAATATGAAATGAGCACTAAGTCTTAATTAAAGAACTGAGAGGGATAATATTTTGTGTAAAACTATTTTAAAAATATATAATATGTCAATATAAACAATTTATAAACATGTATATATATCACTTCAATTTTTTATATGCAATTTTATTTCCTGCTAGTATTAGGTGTTTTAAAAAGTAGAAATGCCTTAAATGTTTTGCTAAAAATTACCAAAATTCTTTTGGAAAAATTAGAAATCCATCTGGTTTTATGAGGCATAAGACACAAAGCTAAAAAATATGCACACATATACAATATAGAGAAGTACCCCAAAATGCATAATGATAATAAAAATTCTACTAAATTTTTCGTTGTGGGCATTATTCAAAAATCCTAGAAATTTCAAGGAAAACAGTTCCCTGGTAGCGTCCCATCATTGAACGGGCAACAGCGCCCTCTGTCGGAATTTTATATTAGCAACTTGAACAGCTGCTCAGTTTCGTTTAGTGCAATTTTGAGGGCGGAGGTTTTGAAAACGGTTTATTGCTTTGTGTTTTGCAAGTTCACTCTTATTACAGCTGATGATTTTAGAAATGATTGTTTTAACATCTAACATGTTCAAACTCCCCCCTCAAATCCCCATAAATAAAAGCAACCTCTCCTGAGAATAATTTTTGCTAACTTGAGCCTGTTTTTCCTGCTCTCCCATTATATTGCATTTCTCTTATGAGGACGCCTGCAAGAACTCAATAAAGGCAAACGCGAAGGCGAAACAGGTCTAGGTTTCCCAGGGCGAGAAGTCAGACGTGCGTTTTGGTCGCCGTCCGTTTCCCTTTGAGCGTGTTCTTTTTCAGGTTAGGGACACGCTCACCGGGGAGAGCGCGCTTCAGACACCCTGGTGGTTACACACTCTTTTCCTCTTCCACCTATACTCACTTTAGCTTTTGGGCGAAAGAGAGAGTTAATAACACTCTCTCCTTTTCTCATCCTCAAATCAAGGAAATACTGTCCAATAAATGTAGCAGCTAACGAAACGCGCTTAGCGTGGAGCCCTCTGCTGGCAGTTTTAGGCGTAGGCTTAGGACTTTTGAAAACCCCAAATACTATTCTGGTTTAGCACTCCAGTGTGGACTTTATTTAAAAATCTATTTATGACTAATCTGAAGTTACTTCACTTCCTTCTGTTACTGCCCCCTCCCTGGCTCTATAGAGATACGTCCCTTTCCAGATGGACCACCTTTTCACTGTCTGCTACTGTCTCTCTGTGTTTCTCTCCTCCACTTTCCCCAAACACAAAAACAATAAAGAGAAGCTGAAGCTAAGAAGTAT